GGTTTTCGACGCATCTCTATCTTATGGCTATACAGGTAGATCAGTTCTTGTGAAGGGCCTTCCGGTCTCCTCACTTGTAGTGCGCCTGGTAAATATACTTGCGAATAAGCACCACCACTTTACTACAAGTGATGTGGGTACCCATCCACTCTTTGGGAAATAAACTGCATCATCTATAATGGCCGACTCCTTTGTAGGTTTTCCCTCAAAACTACCCAATGGCGTGGATGTCCAACGCCAAATAGCTGAGGTGATCTCTCAAAGAAGCCTGCATGGGATGACAAGTGGCATGACACCTTTCACGTATTGTCTTTGCTTAACACCCACCACATAACGTGTAAATAAACAATAAGCCCTGACTACTTTGAATGGACCAGTCAATAAACTCTTTCCTTTCTAGCAATCTTTCTGTATTAGTTGGTCTAAGTTTATTTTATTTATCTTCAGTTGGCTTGGAGCAGGAGGGGCAATCCAGTAAGGAGGTTTGTCCATCCTTCTGTTTCCTTTCAAGCTTGCCACTTGGTGGACCTGAATTGTCTATGCCAGCTGGAAAAGCCCATATTATCATAGGAAAAACGACTAGATGACAAAAAGCTACTAAGCTCCTCTTCCATGAGTCTACTCTTTGTGCCTAAAAATTGCGGAGTGCAGGTCTTTATTATCTCGTATTCATTACCTTGTCGCTTCTATCGTGTTTGAACAAATATGCCAAAGTATTGAGTTCGCCAAGCTATAGCAGGTCTCGAAGTCATGAGTTCGTTCATGCAATCTATTCCTATTCATGAAAATTGGCAAGAGTGGAATCCATCGAGCGGCGGCTCAGAAGGTGTATGACTATGATATACACCACGGTGCCGCAATTCTGTGAGGCCACCAGAGAGGATTTTCACTTGGCTAGTAATGCTAGCGGTGATATGCAAAGAAATACGTAACGAGGTGCTTGGATTGTATTTCCTTCTGTGATCTATAAAGTTAAGGATTTGACAGGATGATGTCAATTGCTCCATGTTTTCCCAATATGCTGACAGACGTCCGAATCTTCATTGAACAAGAAAAAAAGATACCAGATTTGGGATTAAGGCGTCCGCTTTGTCTTGTGTTTCCGTCAATCTGTAATTTCCTACGACCTAGTGGTCGCAACTGCGAGGTAGTGTGGGGGAAAGCGGGTTTGAGGTTCCCAATCCATCATTTCCACCGTAATTTTCGTCATATCGAGGTCCTCATGTGAACCGGCGAGGATTCTTGGTCGAGTGTCCTAAGTTCGAGTGTAGTGGCTGCAATAGTTCTAGTCCTTGCACGAAGTCCAAAGCTTTAGCATTCGAGTATCGTGACTTTTGCAAATTAATGGGTATACAATGACCCACTGAGAGAGGTGTATAATTTGCGAGCAACAAGAAGGTTTTGCATCCTCAACTAGCGGCCAAGACGCAGCCGTGTGTTCGCTGGAATTAGATTTTAGCGTGATACAGTTGCATTTGATCAATTCCACGGATAAAGAGCCCCTGAAAAGAAAGCTCCGGGGCTGACGAGAACGTTTGTAGGCCTATGTAAGTCTCTTGGCTCAGATCGTATGAGATAGAATCCGATGTATGATGAGGAATGGTAGATACCGCGATATAGTTGACTGATCCCTTCAGGGAGAAAGTTTGACTGTATTGCAAAGCTGCAGCAGGAAAAAGAATGATTCTAATAAGCTTCAAAGAGTGAGCATCCTTGATGTTCGTTAAGGCCGGGTGAAGTGACTTCAGAGAAACGTTCCCACACATGAAATTATACCTCTGGCAATATATGTGACAACAGAAGTGAGGGAAATATGAATCATCTCCAGAAGAGATTGAGCGTCCTATAGAATGATACCGTCATTTAGGGCTCAACATCCCTAGGTAATCTATTTCATTTTCAGATATAAATTGCATCAAGTACCACTTAGGTATGGCAATAGCATAAATGCCTAAGGGGATGATAACCTGAAATCAACAAGGTAAAGAGGATCAGTTTGCTTCAACCAGACGCCTGCTAAAAGCTCATAACTAAAAGAGTGAGCTCTCCATATTTTCGAAACTTTGAGGAAGTCTGGACCTGTCGGGTAGAAAAATCCAAAAAGCCGATGGTAAGTGAATGAGCATGAAATCCCACATTCCCATTTTGCAAGAATATCCTGAAATTTAAGAAGAGAGAGCCATCAGAAGATGTATTCAGAGTGGACAGTCCTTGATATCACCCAGCAATAAGGGAAACTGGTCAAAACACTGATGAACTTCCACTTCTTTGTCTCTTAAATTCACAAGTGTCATCTTGGATATGAAAGGCAAAGACCCTCTTCAGACAAGTTGCTGATGTTGAGAGTTTGACATTTTCTTAGGCTAAACGATATATAACAGGAGCAATACAAGTGGTGATAATTGTTGCCTAGAGCATTGGCTTCGAGTTGTTTGATTGAAAAGGTTGCGAGTATGTTAAAAGGTTTGACAAAATCCAAATAGCAGAAATAGGGGCCCGAGCTTCCAGAGGTCACTTCGGATCTTTCCGAAGCTAATTCCTACCCCAGTTACTTCACTTCATGGACAGTAGTATGTGACAGATCAAACACATGATTATACATCGTATGTATCCCACTTATAAATGCTCATGAATTTTTCAAGAGAAGTTTCAATTCTAAATAGCTCCAAGAGACAATCGTTACTTGGGAATTAACCACTGCTACACTTATCAACTATTCTTCCTTTCCTGCACACAAGACCTCTACCCTTGCCCAAAATAGAAATGGCTCCTGTAACCCTCGCTGGCTCGGCGGACTCTTTGAACAAATTCGAGGATTTGTCAGGTATTGACACTGCGAAATATGCCAACCCATATGATGCTTTGATCGAAGCATGCCACGATGACCCGGTATTTACTTTTCTACCCTCAACACCATATATCCCATCAGATCAAACACGCTACAATTATATTTGGGTGTAACATACAAATCTTGAACACATACATGAAAAACTCACGATATTCGGTTCGCACATTTTAGACTGATTCCCCCCCTTCAGGCAGAAATACAAGCTAAGTATGCAACTCATCGAGAAACTCGCAACGCCCAACAGAAGGCAAAGATACTGGCTCCTGATTTCCAAGAAATGATACTGGATACCGTTCTGCAAAAGCTAGAGAATCCCAATATTGAGCCTGGTTTTGAGGATCCTAGACATTGCTTGGTATTCTGGGCGCGTCCTCCCCAACATATTAAAGCATGTAAGCTTAATCTGTTCACTCAATCCTAATTCCTTGCTACCTGATTATGCTCCTGAATTTAAAAAAAAATGCACTTTGATGTACCTGTATATGTACTCCTCAATACAGCTTTGACTCTTCATCCCCCAGAGTCGTCTTTTGACATGCAAAACTGACTTTGCCATGATGCAGTGGTTGGGACGATTCAACAAAAGCTACTTGCTTTGGCTCCGAGTATGTGGCAATCTACCCTAATCTTGTCCTCTACTCTCAAAATACCTATATTGTCCCTGACACTGACCTATATCTTAGAGCTCTGGCTCATGCCCCAGCTCAAGTGCCATCTCACTGCACTTGAGATAACCCATTCCCTCACCTCTCCAGAAATAACCTCCATTCTTAACCAACTCGGTACATCCACCATATCAACCATGACCGACTATCCTCTCCAACATCGTGCACGTCTCATCAAGCCCACACTGTCCTATGATGCCGCCGCAGTTGCATTGTCTTTTCTTCCGGCAGCTGGAGAATCGCTTACCTCAAACGCTGAGCCATTATCTCGCAATCCCAGAACTGCCCAAGACGATGCGTTCACCTACCACCATCTTCGCCAATCTCTATTTACCATTGCCCGATCTACGGGTATCTCTGTTGACTCCCGTTACGTAGTCCCCAGTTCACATATCACAGTTGGACGATTTCTCACGCAGGAAGATCACGATACGCCTGAAAAGCGACAGGCTTGGATAGACTTGATTGAGGAAATCAATCTATGGCTCAAAGAGGAGTATTGGCCACGTGAGGGGATAGCCAGAAATGAGGATGGAGAGTGGGTAGTAGGACAGGAAAAGGGGTTGGATTGTAGGAGAGGCCAGTTGTGGTATGGAGGTGGAGAGACAGTGATGTTAGGAAAAGGATTCTAGGTGTAGTCCAAGGCATGCTCCCAATCAGCGAAAAAGTTGACACAAAGTGATAACACAGTGTCTCCTGTTTCCGGACACATTTCGAAGCTTTAGACTATGTATTGAAAAACATCACTTACCGACTTTATCATAATCTCAATGTAATCAATCATAAGGATCTCTTGAAAACCCCATATTGCGGGTAAGACCCCGGTACAAAATGATATCATAAAAGTTCTAGCTTGAAGTAGTGACATCAGGCAACCTAGTCTCCTATGAACTACGCGTGAACAGTGCCCAGATACGAATTTGCAAAATCTTTCTGTTGGCCCATACATTAGGACTTTTAGAGGCTACTTTTAATGTAAAGGCCTAACATTTGTATGGCAATTCAAGCTAAAGCTAGAGAAAACGCTACGGTTTTCCAGTCCTAGGAGCTAGGTGGCATTGCAACGACGCGTCTAGGCCGTACTCAAGACCGAAATGCAGTACTATCAGGAAAACCTGTACGTGCATCATGTGCGTCAAGTGAAATCACCCATCATTAGCATAAAGCATGGCAAAAAGAATTGGTTATAACAAGCATTCATATTGTCCACTTCAACACCATGGTAAAGCCCAGTCACGCATACGCAAATGGCTGCAAATATTTTCAAGCACTATATCACGCAAGAAACTTCCAGAATGGTATGTCATCAGCAGACTTTGCTATGTTTCATTTGGTAGCTTTGGATGAGGTACGAGGAGTACAACCACATCATTTTCTCCCGCGCCCCATCACTCAACCATTGAGTGTTTTGTGTATGTTCCTCGCAAAATCCTTTGACCCATCCATTTGTCCCCGATGAAAACAGAATTGTCGTAGCACGCACAAATCTAGAATACCAATGCAGCACCCTTGGTCTTCTTGTCACCACTGTCAAATTGTTAGCTCCATAATTCAATCTACTGCGCAATTTGCTGAACGCAAATGAAATGAGGATTCCGTACCCAAGCTCGAAGTGCTTGCAACGCTTCAATGCCAACTGTGCCTTCGTCTTGCAGGATGTGCACTCCAATCTCAACACAACCTTCTTTGTGGTCTTTGCCTTCTTGTGGAAAACGGGTTTTGTCTGACCACCATAACCAGATTGCTTTCGGTCATAACGACGCTTTCCCTGAGCGAACAACGAAGCCTAATCCAACCTGTTAACTAATCGATTTCGACACGTCGGGCGATGATTGTACCTTTCCGGCCTTGTATTGGGTGACCTTGTGTTGGGTGTGCTTGCGGCAATCCTTGCCTTTGCAGTAAGTGCGTCTGGTCTTTGGGACGTTGACCTACGGAGAAAAAAAACATGTCAGCCTTAATCCAGCTTGATAAAACCATTCTGCTATAGTGCGCCCTCAAATAATTCCGCCACCTCCTCGACAAAATTGACCATCATTCAGCATGTATTGAGGAATCGCGTGTGAAGTGGTCGTGTTGCGGAAACAAGTAGTGATAGATGGTCCACTCGGCAACTTTATGATAGCTTGATTTGCGTCCGATGCCGTATTCGAGCCCATCATTCATCATTCATCGCTCTCCATCGAAATGTCGCAAATCTTCTCTCGAAATTCTGGTTTTTCGCTTTCCAACAGTCCCAAGCGGCCTCTCCTCCGAGGTTCAAATGAACCCAACAATTCAACAGTAAACTGAAATATAACGTACCATCTTGGCGATTTATCTGGTGGTCGCTGGGATAGATTGTTGTTAGTATCGTCGTTGATCAGATTTCTGGGAATTTTGGGAAACTGAAGTTTGGTGGGCTCGCTTCGAACCAGGCCATACCGCTTTGGGAACAGATCAGATCACGTGTAAATGTTATGCACGTGTCATGATCGAAATGAGGAGGTCAAGCGCAACATCGTTGGAGGGCTATCTTATCAAAATATCTTTTGTGTAAATATCGACTCAGGCTCTCGCGAGCGAACCAAAAGAACAAAACGAAAAACCAAAACACAAGCACGAAGTCTAAAAGATTGTTTGATTGCCGCGTTTTATTTGGGCATTGAAAAGGACTCGACAGTCACAATTGAAATAAAATGCCCCCAAAAGATCGATCTCAAGACTCTCTAGACCGTCAGACTCTCAAATAGAGAATGATAATTTGCGGTCATCCGTGAAAGCCCCAAGTCATCGAGAACGCAGACATTAAGTTTCAAATGATCGGCTTCAATCGCCCAGATGCAATCGTCAGCATTCTCGTGATCTGTTGGCATTGTGATACGTCTATTTCGGGCGTTGAAATTGGTGTATTATTGCAACTTGAAAGCTTTGAGATTTCTTTGGTGAAGACTTATACTCCGCTCAAACAACATATCTATCTGCAGGACTCTAAATCAATAATGCGCAAATGCTTGAGCAAATCGATCTCCATACGAGTTGTCGTTCAGATGTCCATTCTATTTTTTGATATACTTTGCTCAAAATACCGGTATCTGTTTCGTCAGCCAACTTTCTGCTTTGCCAACATAACATGGTTTACGAGATAATTCAAGCAAGTGTCATTGACCCGTCTCAACAATTAAGTTCTTGAGCACGTTTTTCAAAACAACAAAGCTTTGGTTAAGAGCCGGTTACTCGATATCCGAAGCACGCTTCGTCGGCGAGCCAGAGATCTACAAGAAACGTGAACAACATCCAATAAGATGTGACGTGTTTCCCAGAGTACGCGAAATCCGGGCATTCTTGTCATTGGCGGTGCGTCTGCAATACGAAAACGAACTCGAAATAGATTACGGAATGTGTAATACCATGGACGTCATTAGATTTTTTTTTACATTTGTGGCAAAGGAATGTCTGTCACTTTCTCTCATACCAAGTACCCTCTATCAAAGAACGAACGTCCGGCTCGTCTTGCCAATTGTCATCTCATAACGTTACAATATCCTAGCAATTACAGTATGTACTCAGGCTTGTAGTCGATGAGGGTCAGCTTTGTTTGACATTTACCGAATTGCCTCACCAAAATCAATCAAAACTCACTGTTTTCAATAATCCATATCAAATTCATCTAAAAGAGATTCTAAGATAGCTTGCATATATTAAATAAGAAATTAGCTTACATATCGAATGGATTTCACCAAATCATTTTATTTAATGGATGTGCGAGGTTATCATCAATATATGAACTCCCACAGTAGTTCTGGTGCATTTCGAGACTCCACCTTCCTCCGTAGGTAGTAATTGCTATGCACATAAAACCAAACTCGAGACGTTTTGCATTGTTTGGGCATCGGAACAAGATTCAGAGTCAATATCATACCAACATTCTAGAAACGCTAATTGGTCGAAACATCAGTGAATGCGGCTTCTCTTTCCATATGTTTGAACGGCAAAGCCAGCGTCCGAGAGGTTAGGCCCTTATCCACTAGATAGGTAGTATTTAAGTGGCATCTAATAATGATGGCTAGCTGCTGCCCCCTTTTAACATTGGAGAAGTTGCCTTCCCTCTACACAATAGATTGATATTCTCTTTCAATCTCCAATGTTATCGACACTTATTATTCGCTGATATTTCCGAATTTTGGTAATCTTGCCATCCACTGTAGAACCATTTGCTTTTTGCATCGGTACTTGTTCTACATCAATAAAATTGGACCGTGCTGCACATCATTGAAATGATTTCACTGTTCACTCTTGTTTTGGCTACACTTCCAATTTATTGGGTGTATTCGAACATAGTAGGATTACAAAAGAATATTGCAGCTGCGAAACGCTCAGGTTTGCCATATGTGATAACTCGTGAGTTTTGTTATCTTTTTGGATCCTCATATACTAATTAATTCCAGCGATTAGCCTTTATAATCCATTTTGGTTGATAACTCATCGTGTATGGCTACCTTTCATCAAAAAGCTACCGACAACATGGACAGAAAGTTGGATTGAGTAAGTGATAACAACCAACAGTATTGAGGGCAACTCTAACAAAATTTAGTTACATGACACCAGATTGGTGCTGGGAGAAACTCTACCATCCATTTGCTAAAAACGGCGATGCATTTTTAACTGTTTCCCCTGGATCAATCCTTGGATTTATCTCAAATGCAGAAGCGACTCATCAGATAACAAGTCGTCGAGAGGCCTTTCCCAAACCTCTTGAATCGTACCGTATTCTCGAGATATTTGGTCGGAATGTTATAACAACCGAAGGAATTGAATGGAGGGGGCATAGAAAGATATCTTCACCGAGTTTTACTGAGAAGAACAACGCGCTAGTGTTTGCAGAATCTTGTACACAAGCACAGGGAATGTTGAGAAGATGGTTGGGTCCTGACGGGAGAGGGAATGTGACTTTGAAAGAAGTTCCTACTGATACAATGAGAGTTACATTGCACATTATAAGCAGGATTGGATTTGGGGTTCGTCTATTATGGCCAGGAGAGAAAGCGAGGAGCAAGGAACAAGAATCCGTTTACAGCAGTAATGAAGCGCCTGAAGGCCACACGATGAGCTTCGAGAGATCTTTGAGTACTCTTTTAGAGACTTTAGTCTGGGTGCTATTTCTTCCTAAATGGCTTCTGAGTAAGTACTAAGAACAACTTGGTTTTTTACGAGAACTAATTTTGTCCCCAGGGTTAATGCCTTTTGATTCCGCCCACAAAGCACTAGAATCTTTTGAAAACTTCGGTCAGTACATGAACGAGTTGTTTGCCCAAAAGGCTCGGGATGCTATGGAGAGTAAGGAAGGTGAGGGTATGGATATTATGGGCTTCCTGGTAAAGAGTTCATACGGTCCTTCAAGTGCGCAGGGTTCTACTAAATCATCGCCGGACCGAGTCGAGAAGGGCCAAGCTAACAAAGTCGCCCTTTCGGACTCGGAAATTTTGGGAAATGCCTTCGTCATGATGGTCGCGGGCCATGAGACGACCGCGAACTCGGTCCACTTCTGCCTCGTAGAACTGGCCATTAGCCCTAGATCGCAGCGACAAGTCCAAGAAGAAGTGCAAAGAATCTTTGGTGATGAATCTCCTGAGACCTGGGATTATGAGAAAAATATAAACGTCCTCATGGGTGGTATGGTCGGAGCCACGCTCAATGAACAACTTCGCCTCATGCCTCCTGTGGTTAATATTCCTAAATCAGTTGGTCAAGGCCACGATCAAACAATTTTTATTGATGGAAAGAAAATAACTCTCCCCGCTGGAGCCCATATAAACCTTAATACGATAGGACTCCATAGAAATCCTAGGTACTGGCCAACTGAGCCCTCGAAAATCACCACGCAGAATAACGATCTCGATGACTTCAAACCAGAGAGATGGCTCATTAAGCAATTAGGAAAAGATGACAGCGCCAATGATTCCTCTGAGGATGATGATTTTGGTGGCTTCACAGGGAAAACCACATCCGAAGGATTATTTCGCCCAGTCAGGGGTTCTTACATTCCTTTCTCCGATGGCGCTCGATCTTGCTTAGGTCGAAGATTAGCCCAGGTTGAGGTCATGGGCGTACTGGCTGTAGTTTTGCAAAAGTACTCAATGGAGCTTGCAGTCGATGAGTGGGCTACAGATGAAGAAGTTTTTGGGATGTCCGCAGACGAGAAGAGGGAATTGTATAGTAAGGCGCAAAGGAAGGCAAGAGAGACGATTAGAGGGGCTACGTCACTCATCACTCTGAAACTTCACCCTGGTTTTATTCCGGTACGACTGGTAAAAAAGGGGGAGGAACGCTTTGTAAATATTATAGATTAGTGCTTTAGCCTCATGATACCAGACTGCTCGATGGTCATTGCCTGATCCAATGGAAAAGGATAACAATAAAAATTATTTCAGAACTTTCATTCTCAAACATGTACAGAGATTGTGTCAAAAGGTCGCTTTCATCTGTCCTTTTCATGTATTAAGTCACGGGATGGAAATAATTCAATGCAGACATAAAATTGATCGAAAACGATGTTCGCGTCTATCCGTTCGCAGCGAGTGTTGCGCACATTCCTTCCCAGGACTCGAGTATTCTTACAAGGAGTTCCTTGAATCTCCCATGACAACGACAGGATCAGAACTTCATAAAGAAGGGTTGCTCAACACCCAGAGGTCATCAGCAGATTTGGAAAAGAGTTACTATGTAACATACCAAGACTGATCCAACCCAGAATATCTTCAACAGTACTCTGCGACTCCGAGCTAGGGATTTAAGTTAATCACGTGAAAGCTCTAGCGCTTGTTTGTTGACATACTACGCGATTCCTTCCTCATTCGGCACCCCACAATATCTGCCCAAACTTCGCACGATAACCCGAAAAGCAGACATCAGATATCCCCGCACCATTCTACAAACACTTATCGAATATAATTACCACGATCGCATTCTTTCGCGAAGCAGCCATCATATACAATCATGTCCGGGGTAGCAAATTGGATTAAGGCGCAACGAAAGGGGGATTTGATGGAGCTTGCGGATTCAATTGGACTTAAATAGTATACGACACCCACATATCTCACCAGCTTTGCAACAGAAGTCACTGACCATTCTCTCAGTATCGATGGTATCAAGAAGACAGAACTTGAGCTTGCGCTCGAAGACTACCTGGTTGAAAATGAATCGCAGCTAGCTAACGAGACGCGCCTCATACCATACTATAATAGAAGATCCGGTGCTTCACCTGTGAAAAAGGAACCATCCTCTGCCCACGAGGAAATGGACACAAAAAGATCATTAAGACGCAGAAC